AACAAAACCATTATACCCTGTTTTCCCATTTTCAATGGGTTCAGGGTATAAAAAATGCGTATTGGTTGAACCAGCAGAATTTAACAAACATCTATGTCTCTTGAAGACATGCCGAAGTACAGTTTGTATAAGTATTAAGGTGATAACAATGGCATTTTGATATTTCGCCTATAAAAACAGTTGCCAAGATCAAAGGTTTATGCAGACGGAGCCAACTTGATCGACACAGCTCGTCGTGTTAATCAGGTAAATATATACTAAATGGGTTTATAATTTGTGGTTTCACATAATTTGCACAAAATCAAAATGACCTCATGTTATGACCTTTTTGACAAGGTTAATAAAATTATATTTCCGGCCTAGACTGCTACTGTTATAGCATCAGATCGTCACTCTCCAGGGGCTCATCCTTGATACAGAGCATTTTGGGGTTGTTTAAAGCATACTCGTTGAGAAATATGTTTTTATCATTGTGCCTCAAGTGCAATGTAGGCATTGCGTCCGAGAGCAGACGACCCGGCTCTATAAAGCAATAACTCTCAAAGTGTTTAGAGCAGATGTGTTTCGTGTTGTCCCACTTGGCAATGGGTTCGATTTTAAGATTATAGCACCATTTGACTCTCTGATTGCGGTTGTCGGGGAAGTCGTGCATGGGCAGCTGCACATCCTCGACGCCACAGATGAGGCAACTGAAAGCCTTAGCAGGTAGATGGACTGCACAAATGTGTTTACCAGAGTAGCGTTGTACCTCCGGCAAATCCAGGGCTTGACACCATTGATGAAGCAGCAAAGGATCTGTAACAAAATAATCACGTTAGAAAATTATACATACTGTTATCTCTATGGCTTACCACTTGGAAACTTATGCAGCTTGACTAGTCCATTGTGTTCGCAGTCAGTGATGCAGCAGCGTGGAGTACTTTCCGGTAACTGAGGCAGCTCCGGCTCTTTAATATTTGGACCAAGATTCCTTGTCGGCACGGCATTGGTGAATAGGCGACGAACGCCAATCAGTTGCGGGTCGAAATGACGGCTACAGATGAGCTTAGTGTTGCGCTGCGACGGAAAAAAGCGCATGCCTGTCGCCTGCTCCCATTTACGTATGGCGCCAATGTTGTTGGGCAGTCGGAAGAGTTTGATGCCATCGCCTCGTGGCCTGCGACAGTGGGGTAAACAGCATTGCTTGATTTTCCATGGCTGCAACTGGCCAGGAGGGCAGGGATCGCAGTGGGAAGTACGTTCTCGTTTCATCTGTGGTTCCGCAGGCAGTTGCTCCGACCCATTGTCTTCGTAATCATCGTTGTAGTCCTCCAACATAGTATCGTCCATATCATAATCATAACCGTCAGCCTCACCTTCGCTGCCTAACTCCATCTGCTGCTGGCTTTGCTCATTCGTGTACAGTTGCTCAGGCACATTTTCGCCCAGCTCCAAAGTTGGCACTGCCCAGGGACGGAGCTTCCTTAGTCGTATGCATCGCGGCTCAAAGTGAGCGCTGCATATCATGGTCTTCCATGGACGCCGTTCGTCGTATCGAATACGCAAATTGTGCATCCAGTGTTGCTGTAGCTGGCGGGAACGTGGAAATTTATAGATGTGCACGCCATGCTGTGAGCGCTGGCGCTGACAGTGGATTAGGGAGCACTTGTCATAGCCCGACTTGACCGGATTATAGTAGCTGTTGTCGCTGCACTTCTCCTGCTTAATACTGCGCTCATTCCAATTGTTATTGCAGTTCAAATAATTGCCCTCATGTTCCTCCTCTTCCTGACCTTCATGCAACTGGAGTTGTGGCTCTAGCATACTTAAGTCCTGTTCCTGCTCCTGTCCCGCCTCCTGCTCCTGTGCCAGCAGCGAATCATCCTCCTCGAATGGCTGCACTTGCTCATGCTTTACAGTGAAATTTTGTTTGCTAAGCATATCCTTATCCGAGCACACGCCAGGAACCGAAAAGTCATTGTCAAAAAGTTGCTTGGGCGCGCGGGGACCCAGCTTCAGGGTGGGCACACTGCCATGCATGAGTCGCATGTTGCCCAGGCAGATGGGCTCAAAGTGCGCGCTGCAGATGCGATAGCGCCAACGATACTCTGGATCGAAGGGCACCTGCGTGTTATGCTGCCACTTGGCGCACATGTCCGCCGAGTGTGGGAACTTGTGAAGAGTCAAATTTTCACTGGTCAGATGATTTGAGCAGCCGTCGATCTGACAGAACTTGCTTGATTTGCGGGGCGGAGCGGGACAGGGCAGGCGCACTTTAATGTCAACCTTGGAGTCCCCAGCAGGCAGTAGAGACTGCTCTTCCACTGGATTCACTGTCGCTTGTTCCTGCTGAACATTGAATTCGTTATCATAGATACGCGCAGGACGTCGGGAGCCCAAACGCAACGTGGGCATGGCTCCACGTCTAATGCGCGATCCATTGAAGCACTCAGCGACAAAATGATGGCTGCAAATGCGGAAGCGCCACGCGAAGTTGATGTCTACATCCACCTGGGTATTGTGCATCCACTTCTCCATAGCATCTATCGATGTGGGAAACTTGTGCAGCTTCAGATTGCCGTCGACATCAAGCACCGTCACACCGCAGCCTCGCACGCTGCAATGCCTCGCGCTGTAGCGAGAGTTACTGCCGTTTACTGATCCGCTACTCAGTGGGTTTGACGGACCTGAAGGATTATGCGACGGCTCTTCGGCATAGCTTATGGAGGGCTGTGTGTCCATCTGCTCATAGGTGGTGCACTTCTCTACGTGCCCCACCTCGAGTAGCACCTCCAGCTCCTGCATTTCTTGCGGCTGCTGTCCATAATAATCCTCTTCGTACACAGGGAGCGGCTCCTGCTTGAGTTGTGATTCTAGTTTGATTTGTGACGCCTCCTGCTCCTCGTCCTTCTGCCCCTGATCGTTGTCGTGCTTCTGCATCGCGTATTTGATATTCCGCATTTCCCTCTGCTTCTGCGCATCATTCAGCTCAACACTAACTTCCAACGCCTGCAGTGCCGATAATTGCTCATTCATGCGTTGCCACTGCTCCTCCGTGGGATTCTGATGCACTGGTGGCTCTGGCAGCTCCAACGTAGGCACGCTCCACGGCTTTAGCCGTCGCGCCTTCTCCACTAGGCAATTGGACTCGAAGTGCTTGCCGCACACCCGAAACTTGTAATGCGCATTATCATTGTAAGCTATCTGCATGTTGTCCAGCCACAGCAGGAGCACATCACGGCGCGTAGGCGGCAAGTGCAGGGAGTGCTCATCTCTTGGCTTTAGAGTCCTGCAGCCACGCACAGCGCAGCTGGCGATGCGAATGCGCACACTGTTGCGAGCAGCCTCGTAGTTGAATGTTAGAAGCTCCTCCTCCGCACACTGCTCAGGGAACTCCTCGTACAGCATGACAAAGTGCAGCGGGCAGAGCTTGAGCGGCTGCTGCTGATCGAATTCCTCCAATCCCATATACGACAGCCACATTTCACGCAGCGGCAGTCCTTGTGGCAAGTCGTAGTTGACTTTTTGAAAGCCTTTTTGCAGTTCCATGCAATGGGGATAGCAACAGTCGCAGTGGATACGCACACGTCCGTTCCGAGCAGTGATTGGGAGCTCTTTGATGCTTTCGTGTATGTTACCCGTCTCATCGTGGCCCAGGTGAAGTGTAGGCACGGCGCCTATATGAAGACGGTCACCGTCTATGCAGCTGGGCTCGAAGTGCACGCTACATATGCGACGCCCCTTCACTTGCACTTTGGTGGGATCGAGGCGGAAATTCTGCAGCCATTTCTCTAGAAGAAACTTAGCCTTTGGAAGCCCGAACAACTGCACGTTGTCCGCATCCTTCGAGCGTCCACAGCTGGGCACAACGCATACGTGGGCTTCCTCTTCCCAGCTGGCCGGATTGGGCAACACGTCTAGCAGGTCATCGTGGCCCAAATGAAGTGTGGGTCGCGCAGCTTGGCGTAACAGCTTGTCCGCATTGAAGCAGTGCGCTTCGAAGTGTCGCTCACAGACATGCGGCTCCTGGCCCACTAAAGACGCCGCATCGATGCGCAAGTTGTGACACCAATCCTCCATCTGTGATGTCCGTTTAGGCATTTTAAATAAGCGAGGACGCCTTGCACCCGCCTCGTTAACGCAGCCATTGACTAAGCAGCGCATCTCGTAGACGGGTCGACTCAGTTCAAGAGTGGGCACAGCATCCTCCTTCAGTTGTCCAGACTCAGGGTCGAAGCAGTCGTCTGCGAAATGAGACCGGCACACCTGCGAAACGTAAGATCCGTCAGATTGTTTCCTACACAAGTCCAACTTCAAGCTGACTGAAAGACTAATAAAAGCATACCTGAAATCCATCGCTACTGGCCTGCATGGACCGATGCTTGCAGTTGGCAGCCCACCGGCGCAGGGTGGGCCGATCTGTCGGGTAGGGAAAGAGGGGCAGTTGGTCGCTGCGCTGCTGGAAGCAGGTGAGAACGGAGCAGAAGTTTGTATAGATGTACTGCAGCGCCTGCCTCTCCTCCTTGCTGTCAGCAATGTTGCCATTGTGCCGAGCATTGGGTATGATATGACCATCGTGACCAAGCTTCAGCGTCGGCACCGCCCAGCTACGCAAATGCCTCTTGTAAATGGCGTCCGGCTCGAAGTGTTCCTGACACACAAACAGATGCTGTGTATCCACGAGACGCGGCTGCTGCTGCGTGTTCACCAGCCACTTGCGCAGCGCAGTCTCGATAGTGGGAAAACGAAACAGATGGGTGAGAGCATTCTCCTGCTGTCCACAACTGGCAATGCAACAGGTGCGCAGTTTACCCCGGGGACTTGGACTTGCGCTCGCGCTGGCCGTCGGACTGACGGAGAGGTAAAGAGGTAACTCCGTCTTGATTCGTAGCGGCATTTCAAGAGGCACACCTTGCTGGGCTAGTGCGCCATCAGCGTTGTCTTCCAGCTTGAGATTCTGATAAATATCCGGGTCGTTGTGGTTGAGATGCAGTGTAGGAACCGCTCCTAGCCTAGGACGCACTGCACCCAGGGCATGGGGCTCGAAGTGCCGTAAGCAGATGCGATAGGCGCGCTCGCGCTCCGGATCGTAGTCAATTTTCGTATTGTGCAGCCATTTGGCGCGGGTACGTTGGCATGATGGAAGTCTGGTGAGATGCACGTTGTCTGTGAATTTACTTTGGCAGCCGGGCACTGAGCAGCGTAGCCCCATGGCAATGGTGGATGAGGCGATGAGCTCGTACGTTTCCCTTAGCTCGCACAGCACTATCTCAGGCAACGGCTCCGGCAACGGCACCTGCTCGAACAGCTGCATATAGTGCATGACGCACAGCTGCTCGTGGTTCGACGATTGGGGGGATCGAGGTGGTAGTTGCAGCCACTGCAGCCACGCCTCTCGCACTTGGGGATGCTCGGGCAGGGCGTAGCCACGATAGAGACGAGCACATGGACAGTTGGGAACCAGGCAGCCAATGCCACCGATCGAGTTGTGGCTACGATAAATATTACTATCCGTATGGCCTAGGCGCAAGGTGGGCAACATTGCCTCATCCTCAAAGTGGTCCTCGCACACATACGTCTGGTTGAGGTTCAAGTTGTCAGGAAGCTTTAAATTGTGCAGCCACTTGCGCAGCAACAAACGATCTCTTGGCATGCGTCGCATGTGAGCGGCATGCAGAAACAATTCCTTTTCACAACTGGGCACGCAGCAGACTCGCTTAGTCTGCATCACTGCTAGATTCGCTGTCGTCGTCGTCGTCGCCGTTGTCGTTGTCGTTGGCGAAATTTCTGTCATTGTCGTCGTCGTCGTCGTCGTTGGCGTTGGCGTCGCTGGCCTCGTTGTTGTCGCTGGCGTCGTTGACGTCGCTGGCGTCATCGTCAGCGGATCTTTCCTTTTGCGACAGTGTTTCAGGCTCCAAAGCCGAAAAACCGAATTTTGCTGTGATTGCGCATCATGGATGTCTGCAGCTTGGCCATTGCAACGATAGCTAAGGGGTGTGTCGTGGCCCAAATTCAAGGTGGGCACCGCGTTTTGCTTCAGCTTGCGCGTGCCTAACATCTCCGCCTCGAAGTGCTCAATGCAAACACGCCCAACACAATCGGCTAGATCTATTTGCAGGTTTGCGCTCCATTTAAACAGTTGCTGCGGATCCTTGGGAAAGCCAAAGGTGCTTAGCTGATGGGTAGCAGTGCGCTCCTTACGGCAGTGCTTGAGGCAGCATATGGGCGTCACATTATTCACGGTTCTTTTCTCGCGTCTCGGAGGAAGAGCCACTTGAATAGGCAGAGTATCGGGGAGCAACAGCTCATCATCGTTGCCAGGTATATCCTCCTCATCCATATTGTCGTCGGGATTGTCATCTTCGTTATTGTAGAGCTGTTCATCTTCGCTGTGCTGCTCTGCAAACGTTTCTACAAGCTCCAAGGGATCAAAGTAGCCGTGCTCTTGCTGCTCCTCTTCATCTGATTGATGATTCGTCTGCTCCTCGTCGTCATCATCCTGTTCTTCCGTCTGCTCGTCGTTTGCCATTGATTGATCCTCTTCATTCAGCTCATTCTTCACCTTAACAAGCGAGTCGAAGCTGTTCGCCCGCTCTCCGCTTTCAGGCTCCTCCTCCTCCTCCTGCTGCAGGCCTGCCTTAATAGCCTCGTTGTCAAAGACTACGCCCTCATCGTGGCCCAGTTTCAGCGTAGGCACTGCTCCCATCTTTAGTTTCAGCTTTCCACGCACCATGGGCTCAAAGTGATCCGCACATATGCGACCGCGACATTGATCTGGTGCAAGGCGGAGATTCACACGCCACTTCTCAAGCAGCTCCTCATTGCGCGGGTAGCGATAGGTGCGCAAGTCGTTGTCAATGCTCCGCCTTTTGCGGCAATGGGCCAACGCACAAGTGGGAGTAAAGAAGCCCGGGATGTTCTTTGGATTCTCATAGATGTTCGTCTCCTGGTGGCCCAGTTGTAAGGTGGGCATTGCCCATCCCCTCAACTGTTTGCCATCAATGCAGCGGCGATTGAAATGGGCGCTGCAAACACGCGTCGTCCTATTCACTTCGCCAGCTTTGAGTCGGAGATTATGACGCCACTTGTTTTGCTGTTGTTTTCCCGTCGGAAACGGAAACAAACGGGCTCCACTTTCTACCCTTTTGTTGCGTGGACAGCTGCGAACACAGCACGTGAGTTGCGGCGTGGATCGCTTGAACTTGACCTGGATAGATATATAAATTTGGCATTAAAGTGAATACACAGTCTGCGCTGAGCTACTCACCTGTCTAGTAAAGTGCTCTTCCTGTTTAATGCCCACGCGCTGGTGCCGTCCAAACATATTGCTCTGCAGCTCATCGGGATTCACACGGTATAGGTCTTCCGTCTCGTCGTGACCCAACTCCAATGTGGGTATGGAGCCCAAGTTGAGGCGCGTCTTGCCGATGCATATGTCTTCGAAATGAGCATTACAAATCTTATAGCGCTCGCGCTCCTTGAAATTGAGGTGCTCGAGTCGAAGATTGTGGCGCCAGCGCTCGAAGAGGGCCGGATCTTTAGGAAAGCTGTTCATCTGCACCTCATCGAACTTGCGAGTCTTGCCACAGGTGGGAACGCAGCACTTAAACACTGGGTCTACGTAGCGAGCCTCCGGCTTCGGATTCGATATCAGCTCAATCTGGACATCGTCGTGCCCAAGCATCAGTGTGGGAATAGCCCACTTGTAGAGATGCTTGGAGCCGATACAATCGGGCTCGAAGTGCCTATTGCAGATGCGCATGCCAATGCAATCAATTGGGTTCATCTTGAGATTGTTGCACCACTTCCAAAGCAGATCCTCGTCGTCGTTGGGGAACCGGAAGAGCCGCACATCCGGCTGATCCTTTGAGGCGTCACAGCCCTCGATAGCGCAGTGCTCCTCGACAAACGACTGCGCCTCATTCGGATAGATATCGTCGTCCTGATGGCCCAGCTCGAGAGTCGGAATGGCGCCAGTGCTCAAGCGCTTGCCATTGAACGAGTGTGTCTCAAAGTGCCGCGAGCAGATGCGGTACTGCTGTCGCATGGCACCGCGCGGTCGCATGCGTATGTTGTGCATCCACTTGCGCAGCTGAGTGGGGTTGTGGGGCAGCCGGAAGAGCTGGACTCCCTGGCCCCGCTGCCGACGACAGCTCTCCACAATGCAGACGCGCTGCATGCACAGCTTGTTTGCTTTGATCTTGGCTGGGTTCTGGTAGATCTTGTAGCCGGGTGGAGTATTGAGATCGAGCGTCGGCACCGCTAGCGGCACTGGGCACTTCTTGCTGAGGACGTGCGGCTCAAAGTGCGCGGAGCACAGACGCCGCTGAGCACTTCCAACCATCGGAACTTGCAGGTTGTGCGCCCACTTTGCCAACGTAGCGCGATTGAGTTTGGGAAACCGATATAATTGGACGTTGTGCAGAGAGCGCACCTTGCGGCAGTGGGGCAGACAGCAGCGTGGCACCCAGGTGGGTTTGGTAATGCTTCCATCACTTCCTTCTCTTTGCACGCTGAGATGAGAGGTGCGACGCTTGTACAGCATCTGCTGCTCGGGATTCTCAAAGAGATTCTCTATGTTCGTGGCAAGATTGAGCGTAGGTATGGCCCACGGCCGCATTCGCTTGCCTATGCAATGGGCTTCGAAGTGTAGATTGCAGATGCGCATGGAAGGCAGCTGAGCGATGTCTATCTGCAGATTGTGCGCCCATTTGGTCAGCACTTGGGACTCCTCTGGCGGTCGATAGAGCTTGATGTCATCCACGCTGGGATTGCGCTTGCAGGTCTCCACACAGCATTCACCCTGCTCCTCACCATTATTTGGAGCACTTGGTCGAGCATAGAACTCGGCCACCTGCTCTGGAGTCGGAAGGGGATAGGGAATGTTATCGTGGCCGAGCATAAGAGTGGGCACTGCCCACTTCTCCAGCCGCTTGTTACGTAAGCAGCGTTCCTCGAAATGCACCTCGCAGATAGCATCGTTGAAGAGTTTGATCCCATCCGGAACGGTGCGCTGCAAATTGGCACACCATTTGGTTAGCAGCGCCACATTGCTGGGAAAACGATGCAGATTGGCGTGGTCGCGATCCCGATTGCGTTTGCACACTGCCACGCAACAGGTCTCGCGTATGTTCAGTTTCTTGATTACATCCGGATTGCGATGAATGTCCTCTTCGTCGTGGCCCAAATGCAGCGTGGGCACCGCGAACGGACGCATGCAACCGCCAATGCAATAGGGCTCGAAATGCAGGCTGCATATGCGCATGCCCTTGTGCATCTTGTCCTCGGGTATACGCAGATTGTGACACCATTTGCGCATCTGCTCCGGGCGCCTAGGTATCGTATGGAATGTGATGTTCTCATTGTTGTGTCGCTTGCTTTCGCAGCTGGGCACACAGCAGACGTCCATGCTGTCGCTCACATTCAGTAGCCCAGAGGATGAGTTGCCAGAGCTCATGCCCATGGCCATGTAGGAGGCACTTAGCTCCGGATCTACATAGTGGGATGTTGAGCTGGCCGACGAGGAAGTGGATGCAGCAGAGTGCCTCTGATATTTGTGATTACTCTGTTGCTGCGGCAACTGCTGTTGATGCTGCTGCATGTGGTGCTGTTGCAGCGGCTGTTGCTGATGATGATTATGATGGGTGGGCGTCGAAGCATTGGGCGGAGGCCACAGTTCATTTTCGTAGATGTTGAAGGTGTCATTGTGGCCCAGGTGTAGAGTTGGCACAGCGCCTGTAAACGTAAATATATTACTTTAAATGCCAATTTAAATATAAAATCTACAAATAATACCAGGATTAAATAGAAATTTCAGATAATTAACGGACCGTGTCCGCTTAAACTGTGTACTTTTTATACCCTTAACCCATTGAAAATGGGAAATCAGGGTATAATGGTTTTGTTAAAAGTATGTAACAGGCAGAAGGACGCGTGGCAGACCCCACAAAGTATATATATTCTTG